TTCTCGTAAGTATTATCCTGGACCTTAAATTGAAAACCATCTTTTTCGATACCTTTACTACAACCTGTTAAGTGTGTCGTTATGTATTGATTGTGTATATAAAATAAAAGTGCGTAAAATATTTACTAATATAAAAATAAGCTTTTAATTTCACTATACTGGGAAAAATTATATAATACCTATTTAATATTGATAAATAATATTCTACTGAAAAAATCTGTGAGTTTTCATTGCTTCTTCTGATACACCCTATATTATAAAAGAACTTTGTACATAGTTACTTATATTTATGTGTTATGACATTTTGTGGCTATTATACATTATATATTATTAGTGTATGTAATATTTATTATATTACTGTATAATTTGTATTTATTTTCTTCTGGTACACCCTATATTATAAAAGAACTTTGTACATAGTTACTTATAATTATGTGTTATGACATTTTGTGGCTAATATACATTATATATTATTAGTGTATGTAATATTTATTATATTACTGTATAATTTGTATTTATTTTCTTCTGGTACACCCTATATTATAAAAGAACTTTGTACATAGTTACTTATATTTATGTGTTATGACATTTTGTGGATGTTATACATTATATATTATATATTATTAGTGTATGTATATCCGCAATGTATAATGCTATATTTATTATATTACTGTATAATTTGTATTTATCTGAAAATTTATACCTCATAATTTATAATTTATTTAATACCATTTCAATAAAAATTATTATTTATTGAAATTATAAGAATTAATTATAATGAAATTTTATCGTATCTCAAAATAGTATTTGTGAAGGTTTTATCGTCTATTGAGTACTGCATCGAAATTTGAAAATTATAAACATTGTTCATCCATCCTATACGTTCCAGTTACCGGTTCAACATTCACGTTGGCCCACAATAAATTACCATAACTGTAACTTGCTTTCTGTTCAAAGAACCGTACCGAGTTAGGTGACTGCGGAACTAGGTGAAATAGTACCTCATTGAATACCATTTCCGCATGAGTTACAGTGAGTTGTAGACACTGATATCGCGATAAATTGTGACAAACTAATCAAAAATTCCTTTTAATAAACATATGTAACAAGAATATTTCATATTTATCCATATTCAGTAGTATTCATTTGACTCTGTCACTATTCTATATACATACAGTAGTATCTTTATATCCACGGAACCGTGTTTTCACGTACTCACGGTTTACAAAATGATAATGAATGCGAATAAGAGAATTATCAGAAGATAACATCACTCCCCTCTCTCCGAGACCAGATTCTTTGGAACAAAGGTCTCATACATTAAGCAGAGCAGTTTAGAGCTCTGTGTTACAGCAAATCTTAATTCTTTTCTTAATAAACAATCGATCTCACCGCGACTAATTAAAGGCGTTGGAAAATATAGAAAAAGTCAATCGAATCGAAAATTCGAAAAATTGAACAGTTCGAATAAATGGAGCGATTCGGAAGAAACGAATGGTTCGAAAGAAAATCAAACGATAGGAAAGAAATCAAACAATATCACAGAAATCGAACTGTTCGAAAAAGTGAATAATTCGAAAGAAATCGAACGGTCCGGAAAAATTGAATGACCCGAAAGAAATTGACCGATTTGGAAAAAATCTGAATAGTCCAAAAGAAGTCGAACAATTTGAAAGAAAGCGAACAATTTGACAAAAATCGAACGGTTCAGAAAAACTGAATACTTCGAAAGAAATCGAACAATTCGAAGGGAATCGAAAGATCCGGAAAAATTGAATGATCCGAAAGAAATTGACCGGTTCAGAAAAAACTGAATAGTCCAAAAGAAGTCGAAAAATTCGAAAGAAAGCGAACAATTTGACAAAAATCGAACGGTTCGGAAAAACTGAATACTTCGAAAGAAATCGAATAATTCGAAAGGAGTCGAACGGTTCGGAAAAGTTGAATCACCTGGAAGAAATTGACCGGTTTGGAAAAATCTGAATAGTCCAAAAGAAATGGAACAATTTGACAAAAATCGAACGGTTCGGAAAAACTGAATAATCAGAAAGAAATCGAACAATTCGAAAGGAATCGAAAGATCCGGAAAAATTGAATGACCCGAAAGAAATTGACCGGTTTGGAAAAAACTGAATACACCAAAAGAAATCGAATAATTTGAAAGAAAGCCAACAATTTGAGAAAAATCGAATGGTTCGAAAGAACTGAATAGTTCAAAAGAAATCGGACAATTCGGAAGAAATCGAACGATTCGAGAGAAAGAGAGCAAATAAGTAGAACTAGGAAGAAAGAACATGCTCGACGACTCTTGAAAGTCGAGAGTTTGAGAGACTCCTGAGAACATTGTTTATACTTCAGATACATACGCTCGAATTGCATGGTTTCTTTGTGTCATCAAGATTGGATTGGCTTGAATAGGACCTGTCTAGGCGATCAAGATTGTATTGTTAGAATTGCTTCTACGGTTAACGAATTCTGTCATCATTTGGATCTTCTTGTCAGACTGACGACTTCATTTAGACAATCCTGTATATCTACATTGTACTCGACTTTTATGCATTGACATCGTGACACCGTTTTATGTTTCCACGTATAGTTATTAACGATATAAAATTATTTATTTATTTACCTATTTATTTATTCGGATTAATAACAATTTATTTTATTATAATAAATAATAATTCATTTATTCGGATAAGGATTATACCCATTAGTCTATAATAATTAGATAGAGAGTGAAGACACAATTTGGACACTTGAATCAATTGCTGGAATTAAATAATCATACTGAAATTCGGAGAACAGAATATGCTCTACGTCACGTAAAGAAATTTGGTATTGAACCATTTCCTGCCAGTGAAACATGGTTAGATGGAACAATTTAGAACTCAGTGTAGAGCTGGAGTTAAAAAAATTGATAGCGGAAAAGGGATACCATCGAGAACAAGTTTTTAATTGCGATGAGACGGGTTTGTTCTGGGAGAAAATGCCTGATAGAACTTACGTGCAGAAAACCGCAGAACAGGCACAAGGACATAAAGCATTTAAAGATAGAACTACGACTCTATGTACAATAGAAGCGTGACTATCGATAAAGTTATCAATAAATATCGATAGCCAAGATTGCAATGTAATTATTTATTTATTTACTTATCTATTTATTTATTTATTCAGTTTATAGTCGAAGAGTCTTTAGTTTATAAAATAGTTACAGATAAATAATAAAAAGGCTAGATAAAATAGAATAAAATAAAATCTGTACTTTTATTCATATTTATTCAATTTTCATTTGATTATTTTATTTATTTCAATCAGATTGAAATATTTCGTTATTTTAAGACTGATTATTTTAATTGCATAAACCAAAATGCTGTTTCGAATGAAGTAATGAAGTTATGAAGTAATAAAGTTATCAATAAATATCGATAACCAAGATTGCGATGTATTTATTTATTTACTTATTCAGTTTATAGTCGAAGAGTCTTTAGTTTATAAAATAGTTACAGATAAATAATAAAAAAGCTAGATAAAATAGAATAAAATAAAATCTGTACTTCTATTCATATTTATTCAATTTTCATTTGATTATTTTATTTATTTCAATCAGATTGAAATATTTCGTTATTTTAAGACTGATTATTTTAATTGCATAAACCAAAAAGCTGTTTCGAATGAAGTAATGAAGTTATCAATAACTATCGGTAACCAAGATTGCAATGTATCTACTTATTTATTTATTTATTTATTTATTCAGTTTATAGTCGAAGAGCCTTCAGTTTATGAAATAATTACAGATAAATAATAAAAAAGCTAGATAAAATAGAATAAAATGAAATCTGTACTTTTATTCATATTTACTCAATTTTCATTCGATTATTTTATTTATTTCAACCAGATTGAAATATTTCGTTATTTTAAGACTGATTATTTTAACTCCATAAATCAAAAAGCTGTTTCGAATTATTAAAAAGAATTTTCATGTTGTGGCCGATGTAAATTATGACATGATTTGCTGATGACGCGAGTTTCGCTAAACAAGAATAAGTATATAAATATAATACGTCTTGAAGGCACGAGGAGAATTCAAAATGTCATCAATAACGCAATGCGTAATTATCAACGTATATTGTACATTATAGTTTATCTTTGAACAATCAGTTTTATTATCAAAAACAACAAAAATATTTAGCAGTAGATAAAACTAATCAGGGTAAAATCAGCGTAGTAAGTATAGTAAGGTATAATATCAGTATAGTAAGAATATTATTATTATCACTAGTACAGCAAACTTTTATTGACAATTCACTGTCAATAAATTACTTTTCCAAGTAATTATTATTTAGGAATATTTATCTTGAAAAAAATCAAATATTTCCCTGCACTCAAGATAATAGCAAATGAATTTTTAGAGTTTTAAAAGTATAAAAAATGGTACATTTCCAGAATATTATTATTGTCATTAGTACAGTAAACTTTTATTAACAATTCACTGTCAATAAATTATTTTTCCAAGTAATTATTACTTGGGAATTTTTATCTTGGAGAAAATCAAATATTTCCCTGCCTTCAAGATAATGGCAAATGAATTTTTAGAAGAGTTTTAAAAGTATAAAAAATGGTAAATTTCCACTGTCAATTTTAATTTTCTTATTCACTCTGTTTTATTTTTCTAAATAATTTGAGAGCGAGAAAACTTAATTTCAGATATCTTTTGTATATATTTTCTTATGTAATATATGTATAATGTAATGACGAGGTAAAGTATGTTTTTGCTAAATAAAATTTTTGCTGCTACTAACTATCGCGAGTCATCGATGAACCACATGACGCATAACGTGTTAATATCGACAATTATTTTTCAAATACGAAATAATGTCATTTCAAATAGCCGTTGCTAAAAGAAACAGGACCGAGTTAACATTTACGTGTATTTGCTAATTTTAAACATGTGTAACGTGATGGTTTGTGTGTATGTATACATGTGCGATGGAAAAACTTACTCATTTCTTGCTTCGCGTCGTGTGTTGTATGCCCGTTTACGTGCATCGTCGTGTTCGAACTTTTCTTTTCATACTGATGTTGCCCCTTCGTTGACGACTCCGTCCCTGAGGAAAGAAAATAACATTTTGATTCGATGTAACATTGTCAATTTTTCCAAATTTCTTTTCATTGAAATATAAATTATAAGGGCAATAATAATTGTAATTTTTAAAGATTCCTATTACTATACGGAAATATATAGTATAAGTAGTAAGAATTGCATTTTGGTTTTCATAGATTTTTGTTATCATAAAAATATGTAGCCAGAATATAATAGGTTTTATCATAGAAATATTGTAGGATACCATTTCAGAAAGAAATCGCGAATCGGCTATTGCCAACAAAAACAAATTATAAACCGATCAATATTTTCTAGAGCAAATGGAAAAGTTATTTTGGATAACAAAATTAAGTTAAACGTGAAACATTTGTCTGAGCATTTTTGGACAAACTGTTTAAAGAAATGTAACACTAGAAGTATGAAAAAGGTTGAAATCATTTGCATGAGACATTTTATTGGAAATAGCATTTGGAATTTCATTATCGGTAATAGAATTATTATTATATATGTAGGATACCATTTCGAAAGGAATCGCGAATCAGCTATTGCCAACAAAAACAAATTATGAACCGATCGATATTTTCTAGAAGCAAATGGAAAAATTATTTTGGGTAGAAAAATTAAGTTGCGTGGTCCCTACGAAGAGGTGAAGCATAGGTTAAAGAAAGCATAAAAGCAGGGCCCTTGATGACCAAAACAGAGTCCTTAGAAATCAATTGTAACCAGCACAAGCGTGAGTCACTTTTCCTAAGTTAAATTAGTTTATGAGTTTTGAGTTTGTGTTACTCTGTTCTTGTTGTTTTGACAATTTTTGGTATCTCAAAATCAGTTTCCTCCATCCTACAGTATTATCAGTTTTAAGGCCGAATTGTTCAAATTGTTAGTATTACAAGGGTATTGGTATTCCAACTACCTGGAATACTAGTTAACTCTTTGCACTCAAGGGACGACTCTCAGTCGCCATTTGTTTCAGTACCATAACTTGAATAACGAATAAGGGACGATAGCTATATAAGAAATAACTAGACGCGATACAGTGAAACGAAATAATTCTATTTGCTCATAACAACATGTTGTCATCATTTCGTGGTATTATTTATTATTACTTAAGCCTGTTCTGCTTAATTTTATTTCTTCTATGTAACTTGGTGTATAGTGTTGTACCTTTTACTGTCTACTGTATAGCTTTTCCTATTTTGCGTGTGCATGTTTTATATCACTTTATCAAAAAGGGCTTTGTCCGTAAGTTTCAATAAATAAATAAATAAATAATCAAGATAATCAAGATTGTAATCAAGATTAAGCAACAGAGTAGAAAATTGATTAAACATATAAAAAGAAAGAGAATGGTAGAATATTAGTTTGGAGAAAGCCAAATACTGAATTAGATTTACGAAATTTACAATCGAGTGTAAAATATAGAGGTGGTGGAGTTATGGTGTAAGGTTCTATGGCAGTATCTGGGGTTGGCGAATTAATTTTTATAGATGATATTATGGACAAATACACATATTTGAATATATTGAAACAAAATTTATTCAAAAGTGCGGAAAAATTAAATCTCCCGCGGAATTTATGTTTCCAACAAGACCGCGATCCAAAGCACACCGCTCACATCGTACGCCATTGGATCATTTATAATACTTCTCACTCCCTAAATGCATCACCCCAGAGTCCACCCTATCGAACATATCTGGATCTGGAACGAATTGGAAAAAAAGATTCGAAAATATCGTATAACAAGCAAAGCAGACTCGAAGAATGTTCTTTTATAAGAATGGAATAAAATCGAGCTGGATTTTACAAATAAGTTAGTTGATTTAATGCCCAAACGATGAAAGGAAGTCCTTAAAAGGAAAGGAGGGTCAACTAAATATTAATATTTAATTCCAAATCATTTTTAAACGTTTTTATTCGAGCGTGCCAATACTTTTGTCCACTCATAAAATGTTCAATAAATACATTTTTGTGATTGTTTCGTGAATTAATGTATTTATATTATTACTTCTACTATGTAATAAAACTAGAATAGATAATACATGAATATGTCGAAAAGTTTTTCCTTCAAATCAATTCGTTTAGTGGTTACAAGCACTTGTACCACACAACCATGCTGTGCCAATACTTTTGTCCGGCACTGTATATAAAACAAGAATTGTAAATAACCCATTATCAAGTAAAGCAAACTTGTTGGTTATCACGTAAACACATAAATGACAGAATTAAAAGATTTGTATTACTATATTGAAGTATACTCACAGTCAGGTTCATTTACAAAGAAAGTCATGTTGCAATTTATACTACGGTATCACACGTTTTATCCTATCAGTTGAATTCACGGCTCGACCGACACTCTCCTCGTTTCATCGATAATTTAATCCCTGCCAAGAGGAAGAGTAGAAACGCGCCGCGACCTTGATCAATGAAAACGAATGGCGCTATACGATCGCGGACGCAGGCGAAGTTACTTTAGAAACTAGGACGCGCGTTGCACCTTTCGCGCTCGCGTTCCTCTCCGTGCAAGAAGAAGAAAGTCCATTAAGCCTTACTCGCGAGTCCAGATGCAATAAGCAGACGTTTTCACCGTTGATAAGGTTAAGTGCGACCGCGATCGTGCCTAATCTATTTCTTATCTAATAGGGGAATGAAACAGCTGGAATACCTTTATCTCTAACAACAGGAGTACGCCATTTGATAATCTTATGTTTATCATCTCTCTGCTACTTTTTCTATGCTTTCATTCCCTTTATCGTTTTGGATAGATATCCCTGCATTGTGTTCGATTATTATTGGAAGCTAGGAATCGTTACGTAGTTATTAACGCGTTATTGTGGATATTAGGAAGTATTGTTTGAAGTAATAATTATAATTGTGTACTACTGCGTAGTTACTTAACCCTTTCACTACGACAGACTTTGAAACGCACCAGTCGTACCACACGGGTAGGAATTCATTTACAATGTCCGCCGAGAACGGCAAAATTTTGGGTAGAGGTGCGCCCTCCGTGTCAGAAAAGTAAACTGTGTTGAGCGGTTATATGCGCCCTCCGTGTCACAAAAGCAAACTGTGTTGAGCGCTTATATGCGCCCACAGTAGCCAAGGGGTTAATACTTAACCTATCACGCGTGATCAAATGAGCGTTTTTTAAAATTTCCTTTATCCCTAACAACAGGATTACGCCATTCGGTAATGTTATGTTTATCATTTTTCTCCTAGTTTTTCCATGCTTTTATTCCCTTTATCGTTTCGGATAGATATCCTTGCACTGTGTTCGGTTATTACTGAAACTAGGAATCGTTATGTAGTTATTAACGCGTTATTGCGGATATTGGGAAGTATTATTTGAAATAATAATTATAACGATTGTGTACTTCTGCGTAGTTACTTAACACTTAACCTACAACGTGTGGTCAAATGAGCGTTTTTTAAAATTTCGATTTGAATTTGCTGTACACTGCGTTATGGACACCAGATTTCGATTGTCCATTATGACATTTGCGCCCATAATTATGAAAGTGGTTTAAGTTACATATTTTTTGATTCGGGATATTTAATGGATTATATTTGAATAAATTAAAAAATATTTTTATGTCACGCAACATTTTAATTTAGAATTTTATTAGTCTTGATTAATGGAAACTTATTATGAATGTGAAATTTTGTGCGAATCTCATACGAAAATGTTGTTTTCAAAGTTTGGATTGATTTAGGCCATTTTCAAACTTAACTAAATGACCTGTAAATGAGTTAAAGCAATAAAAGCTACGAGTTTATTTGAAACAATAATTTTAATGAAATAATTCATGAACATTTATTAATTATTTTTGAAAAGTAATCCATTTTTATGAGTTTTGAGATTCTTAAAATGTTCCTGAAAAATTGGAGGGATATAGGGTAGTAAACACATAATATCTTTATGCTTTTCTTCCGTTACTGGTCTAGTTGTGGTGTATAATGGAATTAATTTAATATTTCCGTATATTCGAATAATTAACATATTCACATAATAAGTACGTTGTCATTAACTTACCTGAAACGTTATCTGTTGACATAGTGGTAAAATATATAAATTATTTTTCTGCGATAATTACTTCGGAGGAGCCTAACTGAATTAATGCATTTTTAAAATAAAACCAATTGAATTCCATATAATGGCAAAATGGCTAACACGATGTAACGGTTCGTTTTTCACAAATTCACAAGGGTGAATTTGCATTTCTCATTCAAAGAATGTATCATTATACGTCAAAGAATGTGTTACCATTATATGTTATATTATCATTATCGTCGTTGGCTTATTTGTAATAACTGATAAACTCAATTTTTTTAATTTTTTTTACTTAGACCAGTTTCATAATTAACATGTTCATTTCTGACAATATCGTGAAAATTACATTGAATTAATTTAGTTTAAAATAATGTCACGTGAAATAATTGATAAATTCATTTTTTTTTAAATTTTTACTTGGACCACTTTCATAATTATGGGTACATGTGATTAATATAGCTTCGAAAAGGAAGTATTTTAATATTTTCCCCAATTTGTGCTGATTAATTACCGAGATGTTTGAATATTTTCAGGTGAATCGAATAGACCGTCGAAGTGGATATTTTAAATAATAATTCTTAGGATTAGTAAGTACGATAATAGAATATTATTTCAAAAAATATGTAAAATGAAAAATGGAATTAAAAATTTATTATTAACATTTAATTCGCTTCCAATTATGTATAAACTCATAAAATTATATTCTGAATACATTAATCTAGAAATTTAAAAATACTGCTTAGAAATTTTGTATATCGAAACTGCATAATTTTTAAAAGATTTGAAAAATCGAAACGAACATAGAGCTATGTTCTTTACATTATCTATCATTTTGTTTTCAGAATAGAATAATCTTGCATTCTGAGAAGTGTCAGACAAGCTTTTTTAAAAAATAAACAGAAAGTGTATCACGCACGTATTCAATTCGCATACCTATTTCTAAGCATGGTTAAAAT